GTGATATAAAGGGTCCAAAAATGGCCTCAGTCTTTGGAAAAAGTTGCAAAATTGCTAAATACCTGAAAATGCACTTCTAATCTTCCTTTTTGTAAACTGCTCAATGGATGTTTCTGAAACTTCTGGTACAGGAAGTTATGTGCCAACGTCCCGTGTTAAAACTATCCCGACAATGATATTTAAACAGGAGGTAGTAGAAAATATATCCGATATTTTGAAAAAAAATGCACCCCCGCCCCCGCTCCCCCCCCCTCCTCCCCCAAAAGAAGATTTTTGCGAAGAACGCGATTTCTCCGTCGGATATTACCGAATCGAAACAGCTAAAGTATCATTGGATAGCACAATGAATGGACTCTCGTATGATTCCTTCGGGTCTGTTACCTTAAAGCCGATTCAGCACTGCCATTTAGGTCTAGTTTATGTTGTTTTTGGTTTAAACTGTCAACCGTGAAACACACTCAGTCATTGACTTTGTTTAGAAACCCGTCTTAAATGTAGGGGAGATGCATTATGTAACATTTAGATAAAGAATTGATAGTTCTTGTTCAGACCATGGGTTCCTTGTCAGCCGTATATGCCGGTCGAGATCGAGGGCTATGGAAAATGACCGAAACTAGATCTGACCCAGATAATGAAAAATGAATAATAATATATTGAAAATGTCAGTACTGAGCGAAATGGAAAACGCATCACTTAGTTTTTCGTATAACAAAATGATCCTGTAAACATATCTTATTTATTTTGCTTCTTTTTGTGAACAATATTCAAATGGGAACACATCAATAACAACACATTTGTACACTTACGGATGTTTAATCTGTAATCAACGGTACAAAGTCAGAGGGGTCAAAACCAAAAGTACGACACAGATGTCAGTAGCGCGTGTGTCCTCCACGGGCTCTTACGCACGCTGTGCAGCGACGTCGCATGGAATTAACCAATGTTTGAAAGAAGGCCGGGGGCAAATTGTTCCATTCTTGGACAAGAGCAGCTTCTAAAGCAGCAATGGTGTGCATCTGTGGTCTCCGATACAGACGGCGTCCAATCTCATTCCCGACATGTTCTATCGGTGCCATGTCCGGAGACATTGATGTTGTTAGCAGTCAGGTAGTCCATACTAAAACGGGCGGTATGCGGACGTGGATTATCCTGTTGGAAGTGCTGAAGTTGTTGGTGCGCTCGAAAAATCGGAACAACAATTGGTTGCAAGACATCATCACGGTAGGCTACAGCATTAACCCCTGCAAATGTGTAGGGCGGTCCGGTGATGAAATGTGAAGCCTCCCCACACCATTAAACTTCCCCCACCCCATCGATTCGTTTCGAAGACGCGGCAGTCTGTAAGACGTTCCCCAAGACGTCTCCACACACGTTGACGGCCATCAGCGTGATAAAGATGAAAGCGACTCTCATCACTGAAGAGCACACTTTGCCAGTCTACTCTTCTCCATGTCTGGTCTCCTTGAGCCCATATCAAACGTCGCTGACGGTGATGATCCCTGTCCCAACATAAGGTCGTCGTGCACGGAGTCCTACTTCTCTTAGACGACGTCTTACGGTGTTGGCACTTACTGGTCCTTGTCTTCCGACGACTGCTGCACCTGTTCGGGTCGCTGGGTGGAATCTGTCACGCAGATGAGTGACCCTGATGTAGCGTTCTTGAGCCTGGGTTGTAACGCGTTGCGGTCCAGGACGTTGACGGTCACGTGTTGATCCAGTAACTCGAACACGTTCCACCAACCTTACAATAGTGGACTGATGACAATTGAAGTGTCTGGCAATAGCACGTGTAGACATGCCAGCCCGGGGCATTCCCATGGCTTCATTCCGTTGATTTTCAGTAAGTTTCGGCATCTCTAGCTCGATTCCTTCACACGTCCAACAACAAATTACGACAGATTGACGTTTCACAGTTCATGTACTGCACATTAAGTTGAAAACATGCTTTTAAAGGGCTCACACACAATGCTGCACGTGAATATTGGATTTTTCATGTGCATCTCGTGCAATTTTTTTTTGTGCACACGGGCCGATATTTTTTTGCGTTTGGGAGCATTGTGTGAAATAATAGTTCATAGTATTGCATAATATTATACATACAAAACCACCTAGTAATAAAATATTTGGGAAAAAAAGTGATGCGTTTTCCATGGCGCTCAGTATATTACTGTATTCTGAGCGAAGTTATGCGGTTTGAAATAGTCGATTGTCAAGTACCATTGCTATTATAATAAACGAAATCTCGATTGTAAGCCATTTTTATTGAGCTAAAGACTCCTACGCGTAAGCGAATTGTTGAAATAAAACTGAACCATGTGTTAGTTCCGAAATGACATAGTTTGTGTCGAGTGGACGTGACACCCCATTTTACCGTTTATTTTTACTATATCCACCCACGATTGCTCGTGTGTGTAATTGGACTTTTCTAAAAGGTGCCAGAAAGAATCTTGGCAAACCGAAATGGCCGTAGGTTTGTCTGTCGGTCCCGGGTGGGCATCCGTAAAAATCGAAAAACTACGGTCCAGTGGGTATAGGGGTCACCTTTGTCGGTATTGTTGACGTTGTTTTGAGAATAGTTATTAAGATTACATTTGGTACATGTGATTTCGGAACCTTACTCAACCAAAGGCGCGAGATCAACGATTATGGCTTAAAAATTATTTCAAGAAATAGTTAAAGAAATAGTCACCAAGAACTTATGAGTTAAGATCGATTTCTAAGACATTATCGTATTCGGCAAATTCCACTGATAAGACTGAGGCTCTTGGTTGGTGCTGCTGCCAATACTCGTAGTTTGAAAGAAAGAATTTGCCGTGGTCCACAGACGCCATTCGCCATCACATAGTTAAACATGCATTATGCAAGAGCAAAATCGGCCTATTGCAGGTCTTTCTTTAGGCCTGAAATGTTATAAAAACTATTAATTAGACATTAATTAACTTATCCAGACCATAATCAGCTCTCGATGTCAAGGATTGCCTGCGATATTTGTTGGATTGCAGTCCGATTTGCTGCAAAACTTTCCTTCGTGATTAACGATTAAATGGATAATCAAGACTATTAGTTTTGTCTTATCGACTTCAGTAATGATGATCGAGACTAAGCGGAACTTTCATCCGCTTGGTTCTCGGCTCATAGTGGATCAATTTGACTGAAATTTTCAGCAAGTTGCCTTTACATTATGTAGTTTTTAACTATTATAGTGAGAACTGCCAACTCGTTATCTCATCTCCCATAATGTATCTTTAACAGATCATCAGTGATTTGTTTGGCAGTTGGGAAGAATATGCGCCCACTACATCGAATCATTACGCAGGGCGACGTTAATGAGTCCTGAAGCAGGAGCAAGACGTTTTGGGTAAGCGGTCATCGTGAAAGGGGGTAGCTTTCTTTTGTGGAATGCGAGAGACCAGTTTGAGTCTATTATGTAATGATACCCATACATCACATTAAATGGACGACGTATTCTGTGTAATGAAGTTGGGCAGGTTTGTTGGTATTTCGGTTTCTGTACTATTTATGAATTAACCCTTAAAAGTCGTTTTTGTGGACAATAACTAAGTAAGACAATCCAAACACCATTCTCTTGTCCAGTACACATCACATAAAACATTTAAACTTTCTGTGGGAAATGTCTTGTGATTACGGAGCCCGGTAAGGGACGCAAAAAAAAAATAAAAAATAATAATAACCGGCGCGCGCCCGATAATAACTGGCGCGCGCCGGATAATTTCCAATAAGAAATAGAATGAAATGGAGTTTAAAGTCCTACTGTTCTGCTCCTACTGGACTAATCAAGACGGGCATACGCCATATATAGTGCGTACTATGAGGAAAAGTTTGCCCGGGCATTGGTACTACGGCTTACTCTTATATCGAATTCTAAATGCCAGGGGATCATTTACGTGCATACCAATGTGGACACCAGACCTCGGTATTTCGTCCCGTCCCACTTACTGTACGTTGACCGTAGGCTCGCTATCCAGGAGACCCCTTGTTCCATCACTGCTTTGGCCGAGAAAGTTCATCGGCATTTTCCAGCATGGTTCCTCCTGCACCATTGATTGACAAGCAGGAACCACGCCGGAAAATCCCGAGGAACTTTCTCGGCCAACGCAGGGATGGAACACGGGACCACCTAGATAGCAGGCCAACGTCTTATTAATTGAACCACGTTGGGTAGCCAAATAAGGTCTGACATTGAATCAAGTGACGTGGTTTTGATTCCCGCCTTGTACGTGGCAAAAGGAGGGTCGGGTCGCCTGTTCAACCGTTTTCTTTCGGGTGTTCTGGTTTCCTCCTACTGCTAATTACCCCTTCGCACAACCCAAGAGAATTATTAAAATAAAATGTAAGCATATGTTAGTCCCGAAATGACCTAGTTTGTGTCGAGTAGACGTTAAACCCCACATGTCTGTTCTTTCGGGTGTTCTGGTTTCCTCCTACTGCTAATTACCCCTTCGCACAACACAAGAGAATTATTAAAATAAAATGTAAGCATATGTTAGTCCCGAAATGACCTAGTTTGTGTCGGGTAGACGTTAAACCCCACATGTCTGTTGGTGGAAAATTCAATTTATCCGGCGCGCGCCAGTTAATATCCGGCGCGGGCTAGTTATTTATCCGGCGCGCGCCAGTTATTTATCCGGCGCGCGCCAGTTATTTATCCGGCGCGCGCCAGTTATTTATCCGGCGCGCGCCAGTTATTTATCCGGCGCGCGCCGGTTATTATTATTATTTTTTTTTTTTTTTTTTGCGTCCCTTACCGGGCTCCGGAAATGTACATGTATATGTAAATGAGATGCGTTCATAACAAGACGAAGAGTGTTAAATTGGGACAATTGGTTTCGTTTTACCAGATAATTTTACTTTATATCTATATATCCTAAATAGGAAGCGCTAGATAATGTACATCAAAACTATGTCAAAGTTAACCCGATTTATAAAATTTTATCAGCGTAAAGATAACACGCGTTGTTCATTGTCATAGTACACGTATGCAGTGAATGATCTGCGTAGGTTTATTACATGTTTGTGTACTGAAGAGTTTCAGTTTATAATTTTAATGGGCTATGCGGTCCTTGTATCTAAAGTTTATTGGTTTGATCGTCGGATTTGTGTTTCTGTCCTTGGGATTCCAGTGGTTCGTGTGGAAACATGCTCTTGTGCAAGTTTCGAAACACGCAGACGCAGAACAAAATGTGAAAGATTCTGTGGTAACGAAGATATGTGAGAAAAGTAAATCATGTAATGTTAAAGTGAAGAAATTGGATACGCTCGCACCTCCTGAAAAACAGGTATTGGTTGTGCCCAGTCTCGTCGATCTAACTGAGTCTGTTCCTAAGAAGGGTAATGCAGCAAAAGGTCACCAGCATGTAGCAAAAGTACCTAAACTTAAAAAGCTTACAACCAAAACAACAAAAGTGGTAAGCATACCAAAACTGACAAAGCCGCAAAAAGGTAAAACACAGATTGGTGCCACGGCTAGATCATACAATTTAAGCATCAAAGAACTGATATCAAATATCATATTATCCAAATCGGGATTACCAATTCAACATCCGAAGCATGTTGGTATTTGGAACACTAAATCGGGGTCTGACAGAATTGTTGAACAGATGTGCTATATTCCAAAATCGTCCCCCATATCTGTCAAAAAACCTAAACTCATATTGACTGACGGTGGTTCCGGTACTTGGGGTGTAACGCCTGGTAGTGAAACATTCAAACGTCACAAATGTCCAGTTCAAAACTGTGAAATCATTAATACTCATCCCGAGGACGGGGGTAAAATAGACGCCTTGTTGCTAGGACAATTTCTGCCGGATTTGGAAAACTATATCAAACTGTATCGTAAACCTGAAATAGTGTGGTTATTTTTCTGCTTAGAAAGTCCCCGGGCGACTACTACATTTCATTTATTAGAAAATCTTGTGAACTGGACTGCTACATACAGAAGTGATTCCACGATAGTAGCTCCTTATGAAAAATGGGTACCTCATCAAAATTTAACAGCTGCGATTAAACCAAAACGGAATTATGCCGAAGGCAAAACAAAAATGACTGCTATGTTTGTATCGAATTGTGCATCATCTAACGATCGACTATATTATGCATACGATTTACAAAAAAATATAACCGTTGATATTTACGGATATTGTGGAACATTAAAGTGTCCAAGGAACGCTGGGTCAAAATGTTTTGAAATGATGAGTAAAGTTTATAAATTTTATTTAGCGTTTGAGAATGCTAACTGTAAAGACTATATAACAGAGAAATTTTTTGTAAATGGTCTACAGTAAGTATTTCGTTATATGTATACTGTTACGCTTGAATTGTATGTGGTGTCCAGTTTCATTATACATACCAGTCACATTACATTAATACATTTTTATTCTAAGTTATTTATGATAATGCAGGTATCATACGTATATTGCGACATGCCGCAACGTTCTATATCTTGCGATCTACTGTTAATGCTAGGTTCCGACTATTACGATTCGTGCCGCAGTTGAAATCGTGGTTTTATTCATGGAGTAATCGTGGTGATCCTATCAGGTCTTAGCATACATCGAGGTCAGTCGTAGCTATCATGTTGATCGTATCGGATCGTTTCCAAACGTATCAGTAGGCCTACATACCAAATCGTGGACTCAAAAGGGACAATCATATCGTAACACATCGCACGACAGTGGGAACTTAGCATTAATTTATACCATTTATGCAGTAGTAAAAAATGAATTGGAAAAGAGTGTTATCCTTGGGCAGCGAGTCTGATCAAATATATGGATGTAAACGAATATTTGTTTTTCTACTCAAGTTCTATTGAACACATTGTGTGTCCGTTGTTTACACAGGGATAAGTTTAACAACTGGCAGATTGTATGAAGAGAGAGAGAGAGAGAGAGAGAGAGAGAGAGACTAGGTCATTTCGTTACTAACATATGGATCAATTTTATTTCAATAATTCGCTTGTGCGTAAGGGTCTTTAGTAGTGGGAGGAAACCGGAGAACCCGGAGAAAACCCACGAGGTTGGACAGGCGGCCCTACTCCTAGCCACGCACAACCGAGAAATCGAAACCACGACAATTGAATCAATGATACAGCGCGTACATGCTAACCATTTCACAGCAAGTGTCAAATTTCGCAATATAAAAGTATATTATTTAACATTTAAGGAATTTTGTCTGATCGTCCAAGCTGAAAGTCTTGAGTTATACGACAATCCTTCTCTTAGATGGGAGCGGGGGACCAGCGCTGGACTTGTCCGAGTTAACCTTGGAAGACACGCATTTCATTTCATTTATTTAGATGTTACACATTGATTAGAAATCTACTAAATGCTTAATTTATTTTTGTTCTTTATGCTTATCTTTATTACATTTTCTCCAGACATGACGTCATACCAGTGGTAATGGGGGCAAGGAAGGAAGACTATGAAAAGGTCGCGCCACCAAACAGTTTTATCCATGTGGATGATTTCAAATCTCCTGAAGAGCTAGCAGCATATCTTCAAAAACTAGATCAAAATGATGATTTGTATAATCAATATTTTAAATGGAAGGGGACGGGTAATTTCCTAAACACAAAATTCTGGTGTAGACTCTGTGCCTTGCTCAATGATGAAAATAGACCTAATATAAATGTTAACTTAGAAGAATGGTGGAGATCCGAGGGGGTTTGTACTAAAGCTAGGTGGAAAACATAGTCTTATTCACGTTCTACTTTTAAAGCATTGTTTTAACTGCAATATAGATAGATCATTTGTTTAGTATGTAAGTCTGTCATCATTAGTCCAGCCGGAGCATAACAGTAGGACGTTTTAACGATCCCATTTCATTTTATTTAGTATGTAAGTGTCTCAGATGCACTAACTTGCTTGGTCAGTGGGGCGTCTCTCCTCGGGTGAACACACTTTGGATGGACAACTTCGTGGATAAATTACCATTACATTACTGAAGACATTATTCTTCTGGTGTGATGAAGGACATAGAGCCTACTGGTTGTGAATGGTATTCTGAGGGTCATTCATTTTTTAGATTTGTTTTAGATGGTGCTTTCGTTTTAAATTTCAGATTTCGTTCGTATTTTATTTATGTCACAAATTTCTTACGTTGAAAGAAAAAACGATAGGTTAAATCATAAGTGGAAATAAATCATTTGTAATAATACAATGATCTCCCTTTCTCTAGTTTAGCTTAGGAGAAATCTATGATTGAATGCACTCAACCATGACACAGAATACAGGTTAACAGATTCCTTGATTTCTATTTTGTAAAGAAATGATTTGTTGTACTTGCTTGAAAACGTTTGAGAGAATACTCTTCGAAACGTTGCCAAAAAATAAATCAGTAATTATTCTTCCATAAGTATGTGTTATAGTTTACTGAAATGATTATGGTGACGCTATGCAACCATAATAATACTAGGACAGTTCAGGCATGCCGAATCGGTTTGTGGATGGTTTTCATAGCCAGGTAAGCGGTGGTTAAAGACCGTTATACTGTACCAGATAAAAAAAACACTATGAAGAGTACATTGTTATGCCTATGATGCAGGTGTATTACATTGATATTACAATTTCCAAGCACATTATTTACCAAACCCAACATGCAACTTTAACACAAAAATCCTTACATTTCACTGAATGTAATTATTTTAAATTTTGGTTACAAACGGTAAATGGGGAAATAATGTTTTACAATGCCCCACAGTGCAATATGTGGTCGAAATAGGGCCTGTATATAACTTATCTATAACGCGCTTACTTTTTTTAAAAGCCAGCAACGCCAGCATTACAGGCAAAATCAATCTTCATTTAGTCCGCGATTTAGGCAAATTTAAAACTAGATAATGACTTACAAATAAAATAACTAATGACTGGTGTTATCCTTTAATGCAAGTTAAATTTCACAGTCCTGTTCTTTACTGACAGGGCGTCACGATGGCTAAGTGAGTAAGACGCTGGCTCGCTAGTCTGGAGGTCGGGTGTCTGATCCCTGCATTGGCTGAGAAAGTTCATCCAGATTTTCCGGCGAGGTTTCCCCCTTGTCAGTGATACAGGGCGGAAGGACTGACTAGGACAGCTGTCTAGTCCTTCGGATGGGACGAAAAACCGAGACCCCGTGTACACATTGGCGTGCACGTTAAAGATCCCTTGACAGTTGGAATTTGATATTAGAGTAGGCCGTAGTGCCGCTGTCCGGGCAAAATTTCCCTCATAACACACTGTATTGCGTATGCCCGTCTTCATTAGCCCAGTTCGACGTTAGGACGCAGAACAGTAGGACGTTAAATCCCATTTTATTTCATTTCTTTACTTTCAGGGAAAATAATTTTTATAAATATTATTTGTAATATGAATAGTTGCTATAGGTCAAAAACTTTGTGTTTATCGTTTATAATTAAAATCAGTCATAATTTTAAAATGATTAAAGGTGAATTATGAAAGACTTAGATAAAAGATGGCAGTTCTTGCTATAATAGTTCAAATATAAATAATGAAAAATTAATATAGAAGAGAAATTATTTATTATAGTGACGTTATGTTATACAATATGGGCCTATTAGTCACTTTAAATATAATTAATAATAAAATAAATGAGTACATGTTATAATAATATAAATATTTGTAGTTATTTTTGTGAAATTAGTTAGGATTAAATAAAGATTTCTCGTCTTATATTAAACGACTTTGTAATGTATTTTGCATAATATCGAGGGTAATTCATTAATTAATTTAATCATTTTGTTATTGTCATTTAAGTTTGCGAAATCAGGTTCCAGTTTTGTCATTGTTTCTTACATTTATCTTCTTTCCTCATTGTTTTTTGGACAATGAAGAATAAATTATGTCACTCATATTCAATACTCCGGGAATGACACATTACACACAATCTATTATCGATCGTTTGACCAGTATAACGTCCAGTCTCCTTTTTCAAGGGAAGAATACCACATCTGAACTGGGCTAATTGTGATCTCTCAACTTTGCTAAGAGTGGTGGTAACTTTAGTTTCTGTACTAAATGTATCTTTAAATTTGACGTATGTTCGAAGTTTTGAGATAGATTTTATGTCGTTCGACCAGTCACATGAGTAATTATTAATATGTTATTATTGTTCTATTTCTTTTATATTTCATTGTAGTTTGTTACTGAAAATGTGACCCACACCATTGAGCACAGATTTTACTTCGGAACACCAATTCCAATTTGCGTTATTAAAATCAACTTTGAACGCATCTTTAATTAAACGATCCGAACTCACTAATATTAGATTGTTCCAATATTTCACCATATTGATCCAGCGTCGTATAAAGCATGGTGTCCAACCTATATCGCCATTATAGCCCACCTTAGGCGCAAATCCGTGGAGTCTGTGACAATGTTTTTAAATTAAGACTGAGTCCAAGTAACTTCTATGTGATTTATTAAACATTGATAATTCAACAAATATTTACAAGAAAGAGAGAGATCCGATCCGTTCTAAATCATAGCTCCCTCTCTATTTGAAATACAGTTCTACAAAATATATAATAGACAATTATGACACATTGACAATTAAACTATAAAATAGTGCTTCTCCGTTTAGACCTAAAACAATAGTTCGTTTTGTAGAGAGTTTGGTCAATGACCAATTCTTAATCCGCGAATTGTTAGACTGCAATGCATAGTACAAATTGTATCTGAAGTAATAGCCATTGGCTGGATTAAAGTCTCTCACAAATTTAGACAAGAAGGTTCTGTATCCCAGGGGCCAGTTGACATTGGATTGTAAAGAGTTTTACCATAGGTGTTTTTATAAGAACAATATGTCACTCATGCCATGTCTGTTTAATTCAACACGTATCTCACAAGAAAAATCATTAGGTAAATAAAATATATTTAATATACATTAATGATGGCAAAGATATGTTTACCAAAATGGGAAATGTAACATAGGCTTTTAATATATTGAACTCATATGATTTATGTCGTTCATAATTCCCAAGAAATAACGTTACATCCCTAAACACCAGAGCAGTAATCAGTTATAGGAACAACACAACTTTCATACAGTTTTTGATTTTTATACGTTTTAAACTTATACCGTTTAAGTATGTATTTTTGAAATGACAGCACTCATTTACTGAACATTCCAGTGCGATTACTTTATACTGAGCGAAGTTATGAGCGTTTGGAGTTTTGACAATATAGTCTGGATTTTCAAGTACCATTGTAAAGATGACATAGAAAGTACCCTTCTCAAGTAAAGTTATTATTATTATATGTCTCGATTATCCATTTTAACGTTAAATTATTAAATGGCGCGAACGTTCTAATCCATTCAATAACTAAGCCATCCGGTGGTCTAGAGATTTTTTTATGGGCTTGTCATGAGAATATATGTCTAAATAATCATTTACATAACATTTTTAAAGCTGCTAGGCAGATTTACCTCACGCATAATGCATCTTTAAAGAATAGTATAAATAAACTAAAATATGTTTTGTCTTTCGATGATATATCAGTATTGAACCGATGCAGCTCAAAAGAAATTCAATTCAACCAGATGGAATTTAAATAAACAAGAATAACACTGTTTACAAATTGTGTGCTTTCTGTTAAAAACAAAAATCTATATCTGATCCTTTTGTTGTGTATACATGTATGCCAAATCTGAAATAAATAATATAGTGTATTGATTAGTAGGTAAAACCATCCCTGTATTATTTTAAAAATAATAATAATATATGATTAAATCATTGTATTAATCATTGATAATGATATAATTATTTATTATTAACACCAAGTGCCAAATTAAGACTATAAGCTATAAATCGAGTCGGGAATAGTCCATTTTAATTTTCTCCAACAAAGTTTGAGCTAAAGGTACATCGGCTATTTTAAGTATTGTCCAAATCTATTCTAGCAACTTCACAGTGTCAAATTATTCCTACATTCGTTTGAAATGAACATGGGGTTTAATCTCCTGCATTTCTGCACCGACTAGGCTAATGAAATGAAATAAATTAAAATGAAATGAATTAAAATGAAATGAATTAAAATGAAATGAATGAAAATGAAATTGAAATTGAAATTGAAAATTGAAATGAAATCTAGGGTTTAACGGCATACTGTTCTGCTCCGACTAGACTAATGAAGACGGGCCTCACGCCATACAGTGGTTATGAAGGAAATTTTGCCCGGACTGCGGCATAACGAGGCTACTCTTATTTCGAATTTGAGGGGGTTGGATGGCCGAATGGTTAGCACGTGCGTGCTGTATCACAAGACCTGTCATTGAGTCAACTGGCGTGGTTTCGAATCCCCGGTTGTACGTGACAAGGATTAGGGTCGCCTGTCCAACCTCGTGGGTTTTCTCCAGGTCCTCCGGTTTCCTCCCACTGCTAAAGACTCCTAGGCGCAAGCGAATTATTGAAATAAAATTAAACCATATGTTAGTCCCGAAATGACCTAGTTTGTGTCGAGTGGACGTTAAACCCAATTTCTCTCTCTCTCTCTCTCTCTCTCTCTCTCCCTCCCTCTCTCTATTTCGAATTCTCTCTCTCTCTCCCTCTCTATTTCGAATTCTAACTGCCAAAGGCTATTTTACGCGCACGCCAATCTCCCGTGATCTGGAAAAACCTAGTAAGTCAGTCGAACATGAATTTGAGAAAACGAAGGAAAACTGTTTTGGTTCAGGATTAAGCTGCTGTAAAGCAGATAAATTTGAGTTTGGCTTTTCATATGTACATGACATGAAGTAATTCTAGTGCATTAGTATTTATCAAATTTACTTGCGTAATCTGGTTACATAACGACTTATAGGTTTTACCAGAGTTAACCTGATGTATAATCAAGAATTTTCATCAACAACAACCTACAACCTGTAGTTTGATATTCACTAAGTCTTTATTGCTAAAATCAAGAATAGAATTCAACAGAATCAGACAGGAACTACAATATTAATGAGCGAATCTGATTGGTTCATACCTAGCAACAGCCTAATAAAGCCTAGCAAGTGGACTTGCTAGGTTTTTTTGGATAAATTTGCATGATTTGCTTGAAACTTGCTGACTTACTAGGTTCTGCCAGATGCGAAGCTGACAATATCGAAAAGTTTCACACACTTTAACTTAATAAAAAGTTTGGGTAAAGCCTAGTAAGTCCAAATTTGTGACTAACTAAATTTTCACCAAATATCGACTTACTAGGTTTTTCTAGATCACGGGAGCAATGTATACACGGGACGTCGGGTTTCTGTTCCATCCGAACGAGTAGACAAATTTCTTTATCGGGTTATCGATCGGTAAATCGCACGCCGGTAAATCGCGAGGAACTTTCTAGACGGAAGCGAAACCTAGACCTCCTGGTAAACAA